GATCATTGACACGTGAATGGCCGATCTTCGGGGTGTGGGACGCTGGCTTGCTCGCCCTTCCGCCGCGCTTTGCCCCCATCCTCCCTGCATCCGGTTTTCCCTTCCATTTCAGCACCATCTTGGGCTTAGTGCCCAGCTGGCGTCTGGCCCGGCGCAGAGGGGCGCGTGGTGTAGGTCGAGGGTGGGGGGAGTGGGCAGGGTCCGGGGCCTTGTGCCGTTGCACCCCCTTCATCCCGTCTCGCTTCCGCAGGTTGTTACCTCGGCCTTGCCACACTCTCGACTTCAGGTCGGGATGGCGGTTGGTCCGGGCACGGACAGCCCTGCAGGAGGGTCAGGGGCGGGATGTCGGGTGGTGGCGGCTGTCCTCGGCCTGCGTACCCCCGCGCCTTCCCGTGCTTTGTCCAGACCTTCTTTCCATCCCGGCCTCGACCTCGGCTTCGTGCGGAGCTTGTGGCTTGTTTGGGGATCGAGGGTCGTGGTACAGGCTAGGGGCACGGTGTCTTGCGGGGTCCTCGGCCCCTCCCCGTTTCGTCCTGCCTTCCTTCCCGACAGGCTTCTCCTTTCTGGACAGATCGTCGTCCTCGACGCAGTCGAGGCGGTCAGAATCTCGGGGTGGAGGCCCGTTGGGGGAGGGTTTTGGTCGTGAACGGGGTGGTGTCGGGTTGGGGGGGGAGGAGGAGACAGCGCTTGCACCCTCGTTGCCCCGCTGCTCCCCGGTGCCCTACGTGGCCCCCCGAACGAGGGGTCGGGCGGGCCCGTGGCAGCGGCTGGTGGCGACGGCTTTGCAACTTCTTATTGATGTACCTGCTCTGATTTGTCGCTGTCCGGGTTGACGGCCCGCTTCTTTTCTGGTCGAGGGGTCGGTCCTGTTGGAACTGCACCATATTGTACAACTCTTGGCAAACGAATATCTTGGCCCACGCAACAATGAAGAGCGCAGCGAAGTGGGATACTAAATGTGAATTGCAGAAATCGGTGAGCCATCGATACCTTGAACGCACGTGGCGCCCAAGGCTTCTGCCGAGGGCACGCCCGCCTGAGCATCATTGGATTCCTCACGACCTCAGCACCTTCCGTTTCGGAKAGTGGTGGGGTCCGTGGTCGTGGCTTCCCTCGTTTCCCACTTGGAGAGCGTCGATAGCCTAAAGTGGAAGGGAATTGGGGAGCATTCCGAGCGGGCCTGTGGGGRCCGCAGCCCAGAGTGGTGCGTTTCGCTCCGCCCTGTTGTTGCCCTCCAGCACCCGTTTCTGGGTGGTGGTCTTCGTTTCCCTGAAAACGGCACGTAAGGTCGTCCCTCCGGTTTGTGTGGTCGCCGCCTTCCGTTCGCTCCCATCAGCTTGAGGTGGGCTTGCGGTTGGGGGTGTCGGCCTCAAGCTCTAGAGGTACGTCGGGCCTCGCCTTTTGATCTCAGGTTGGGCGGGAGCACCCGCCCTATTTAACCATATAACTAAGCGAAGGAAGAGAAACCAACGAGGATTCCCTTGGTAGCGGCGAGCGAACTCGGAATAGCCCAGACTTAAAATCCGGGCGCGGTGTTGCTCCCAGAATTATAGTCTTGAGAGGCAAACTCTGCAGCGGGCCGTGTGCAGGTTCCCTGGAAGGGGACGCCGAAGAGGGTGACAGCCCCATCAACCGCCGGACCCTGCTGCACAACGAGGTGTTGTCCAAGAGTCGGGTTGCTTGGGAATGCAGCCCCAATTGGGTGGTAAGTCCCATCCAAGTCTAAATATGTGTGAGGGACCGATAGCGAAGAAGTACCGCGAGGGAAGGATGAAAAGAACTTTGAAAAGAGAGTTAAAGAGTGCTTGAAATTGCCGAGCGAGA